GAAAAAAATTTAGTTTTGAAAAGTTCCCCTCGAGGAGTTGAACTCATGGGCTAAATATTAGTAGTGCCGCATTGCTACCAGCTGAGCTACAGACAGGGAAATTGAGTGGCAGCCCGCCGCCGGCCCATGGGCGGCTCACCGGCGGCCCGACGGTCTTATACGAAAGCCGCAAACTTACACAACTTTTATTCTTTAAAAACATGGATTCTTGGATTCTGACCTATAGGTACCGCTCTTTATTCTAACCAGATGTTCCAGACAACGGATACTTGGTGTCCCATTCTGGGTGCCAGGAACCAGACATCTTTTTTCAGGAAATCAATATTGGGACTTAGTTTTTTTGACTTGGCTCAAACACCAATTTATATTGAATTGATAAAAGTGGGCTTTTTGATTAGTTTCCGGAGAAAAAACACCCCAAACATTGCCAAAGGGGTGATTTTTGAGTGCTGAAACTCGAAAAATCAAACTGCCAACTTCGAGCCAATTTATCTCGGTTACTGTCAAAGATTTAAAAAAGTTGTCAACTAACCAAATGTTTATCATATTATAAGCTAAATTTTATTAGTTTTTTACTTTCAAAGATCTCTTATAGGAACTGAGATAAGTTGGGTCAGAGTTAGGGGTGCCGCGCCGCAACCGGCTGAAACTCATACTTTCCACTTTGACCCGATTTATCTCGGTTACTGTAAAAAATATCAAAAAGTTGCCAACTCGCCAAATGTTTATCATTATGTTAGCTATAATTTTACAGTTTATCATTCTTCGGTACCTTTTACAAGAAACGAGATAAATTAAGTCAAAGTTAAAAGTGTGGGTCCTGTCTAAAATGCTAATAGCAGTCGCCTACACAATATTAAATTTAAGCCAATTTATCTTGATTACTGTGAAAGATATCAAAAAAGTGTTAACTTACAGAATGTTTATCATAAAATCAGTAACATTTTATTAGTTAACCGCTTTCTGATATCTTTCACAAGAACCGAGTTAAATTTGGTCAAATTTGAAAGTAGCTTAACTAGGTCAAAGTTGAAGGTAGCTGCGCGGATCCTCTATCTTTGAGCCTATTTATCTCGGTTACTGTAAAAGATATCAAAAAGTGGTCAGCTTACAAAATGTTTATCATGAAATCAAAAACATGTTATCAGTTTATCACTTTTCAGTATCTTTTACAGGAACCGAAATAAATTGGGTCAAAATGCGAGGACCTTCTAATATGAGTTTTAAGGTATTTTGGAAAGGAAAACGGGATTCACAGGTTTTAGTCTAATTTATATAGAAAAAACAAGAACTTAAAAAAGAAGTAGAGCTCCTAATTCCAAGAAAAACATTTTTTTGGCTATTTTTCTTCCTCCCCTACAACTGATTAGTATTCTAAACGCTGAGGAGGTGACCCATAGAGCAGGACACATGAGAGATAGATTAGGATGGAAGAGATAGGGCCAACCAACAGCGAAACAAACCAATTACCTAAAGAGGTCAAAATTCTGGAGTCAAGAGAACTTTGAGAAGAGGAAAAAAGGTCAGAAAAAGGTCAGATGATCAGACCCGGAATTCTTGGAATCTCTTACAGGAAATTCAGGATATTTTCAATTGGAAATTCTCGAACACCTATTCTAAAACTACACTAAACTTGTTGGATGTCAAAATGCAACCACATATTTGGTGTCTAAGCTGCGCCCACATGCTAAAAAAATGGGCGGAGCCTGAATGACCCATAAATAAATTGCCAAAGTGCGGGTACAAAAAAAATCGGAGCTGTGGTCCCACAACGACGACTACTATTTTTAGATCACGGTAGCTTTCGTCGTTGTGGAACCTCCACAGCTCCAATTTTTTGTATTAGAATTATACTAAAAATATAAATTTAGATTTCTAAAGTTAGGCTATAAGGATAGAGGGGTTTAAACTAAAAATGAGCATTTTTCTCCTCTTTGGAGTTTAGCTTTTCGAATAGAAGTAATCTTTTAGAGTGTGCTCGGCGAGCAAACTCTAGAAGATTCATCTTAGTGTAATCAGGAACATTGTTTTGAACTATGCGCCTTTAATGCCGTAGCCGATTTTCAAATGTTTTCGCTATTTTTTCTTGAGTTTCTGGAATGAGGGAAAAAAGAAAACAGTCAACAATTAAAGGTGGTGTACGGTGAAATTTTTTATTGCATCAAAATGTGCAGAAATGCATGTAGATTGACATAAAAATAAAGAAAAAATTCAAAAAAATTCCTTCATCGAGAAAAACGCATTGAAAAATACGCTGAAAGCCCTTATGGACTAGGTTTTTTCTAGGCCGCCCGGTGAGTAAAAGCGCGCGAATTCAAACTTTTAAAA